GGGGGGGGGGGGGGGGGGGAAGTACAGGTCTGGATACCGCTGAGGGAAGCGAGGAAGGACGCGGTGGAGGGGCCGGCCGGGCGTGAGCGGAGGAAAATGAGTTGGTTCAACGCCTCGCAGCTCTCGACCTTCGCCAAGCAGGCTCTGTCGCAGGCGCAGAAGTCCATCGACCGAGTGCTGGATATCCAAGGCGAGGAGGAGGAAGAGGAGGAGGGCGAGGGGGGCCCTGCCAGAACTGCCCTGTCCCGTGTCGGAGAGGCAGGTAGGCGACCGCGGGGGAGGAGGAGAAGGAGCGGCCCCTCGCCGTGAGAGTCAGGGCGGGCTGCTGCTGAGGAGCAGCTACCCCTCCCCGCCCCTCCCGTGAAGGACCGAGCGGCACCCTTCGCCTAACGCGCCTCCCATACCGTCTGCACGCCTCCGTTTGTGGCATCCTTTCTTTGGTTTGGTTTGTTTCTTTCTTCGGTGGTATCAAGTTCGTTAGGTCTGCTCTCTTGCACAGGCTTCCTTATGAAGAAGCTATTTGAATATAATAAAACTTTGGGCTAAACGTAAAGAAGATTGTGCAGAAAGTAGCCGGTCCACAATAACGTCACTTCTGTAATCGGATTCTACATATTGAGCACACATCTTCACATCTGTGCGTGTTTTCCTGGACTAGGATAGATGTTAAATGGGGATTGGGAAAAATATATAGGTAACATCTGCAATTCTGCCACTGTCCTCATTGACACCGTAATTCTGTAAATATCTACTAAAATGTTCCCATTAAGAAGAATGGATTTCACTTCCAGGAAGCTGGGAATAAAGTTACATCCTTAATTTTCCTTAGGTATGTCCTGATATTTCTAAGTCACACACTTCTGTTGTTTTCACACACTTAATCTTTATTTACATTAAATCCTGCCAAGCTGGAATTACAAGGATAGAGAAGGTAACAGTTCACAGACACTTGAAAAATATCACATTTCGTGCTTGTTAACTGAAGCACTCTAGTTGTGTTGTGATACATATTTCCTGTTCTCATTTTTTTGTAATTCCATACTTTCTCCATTTCCTTTGGTTATATACTACAAGCATTGTTATACCATTCTATTTATGGCTTTCTTGGTCTACAGAAGATCATACTGATGTACTGAGTAACTTCAGTATAAAGATTACACTGTGGTTTTGTAATTACACTATTTGGTCCCTGAGGAGTGTTGAACTTGTTTTTCTCGACTGTAGTTTGCTATGGCAAAGCTAATAGGTTACGGAATATTTGTTATATTGAAATGGTGGGGGGAAAAGCAAACCAATTCAGCAACTATTCTGTTTTTGTAGCACACTACCAGTAATAAAATGAGGTATATTGTAATCTTTTCTGCTGCATAGATATTTCAGCTCCTCCTTACAGACACTTATTTCCATAATTTTTCTGAACACTTGCTCTGTAATTTTAGTTATTCAGATACTTACACCAAACTTCCATTTCTAAGGATTTACTTCCAAAAAACACCAACTCATCCCCAGAACAGCACTGTCCAAGCAGACAAGGGGTGATCTGCCATGGTCTGGGGTTAAGAATGGAACAGTCTGGAATTCTCCAGAAGGTTCTGTTTTGGAATCATGGGTTTTGCATATTCCTGGCTGATTCACAGTTAAACACTTTGAGTTGGGTCTGAAATCTTGTTATGATAATTGTTTGGACTCATATGCTCAGTTTTTCTTGGCTTTCTTTTTTTTGCCCTTTCTTCACACACTGTTTGTTACTTAAGGATTTACTTTATAATTTTCCATGCACTTTTTTCCTCAATATTTGTTCAGTTAGTCAGAACTCAGTTGACTATATGAGTAGATGCATTAAGTAGGTTGAAGAACAGCTTTTCACAAAAGAAAGCCAAAACATGAATTGTTTTTGATAACTCTTTTCTAAGGACATCAGTTTATCTGAATTGTGCTCTGTCTTATTAGTTTCACATATAAATATTTTGATTTCTCCAAGACTTATATATTCTGCTTGATTAAACCCCATAAGAAATAACTATGTAGGTATATGATATTGCCATTTCCATTCCTGGACTGTCTAAGGAATATAATTCAACATCCTCCTGAGAAAAAGCCTTTGATCCATAAAATGCAAATTTTGCATGACATAATGATTACTGGGGCTTTGAATGACCAGATATATATTCTATCTTAAACTTTATTTAAAATATGTAAGATATTTAGGAACAAAATAAACAATCCATACTGTAGTATCCCAGAGGTCTTTTAGTAATACCCAAGTGTACTTATGAAGGAGAAGGTGAAATGGGGTACCAATGCAAAGTATATAAAGGTAACTTATAAAGATTAGTGTAAGACAGCTGCAAGAACTTATTAAACAATATCCTGAATAACTTATTTCTTCATCTGATACGTCACTGAAAATACCTTATCTAATATGAATGTTGTTTTGAGCCCCTTGTCCAATATAAATTTTATGAGATTTTCTTTACTTTCTGAAGTTATAAATGGACTTTGTCGGTCTTTTAGGCACAAACATTGTTTTTATATTCTTAAAATTACCAGTAACAGCTAAACTTGCTGTGTCTCTATCCTGTGGCTATGCTGGTTCAGATACAATTTTTATTGAAGTCCTTATATGATCAGTGCAAAACTTCCTAAGCATTGATAGAATAGCATTGTGAGAGAGAGGACAGCTGTTTCTATAGCAATGGTTGAGTGGACAGTAGACTTATTGAGAAAACCTTTTTTACTTCATTTCTATCACACCATTCCAAAAATGAATAGTATTCAGAGGTGATTCATTTGTTTTTATGTTTATTAATTGAACACATAAAATATCATTAAAAACACAGTAAATACAGAGTCATTATATTGGAGGAATATAAAAGTTTGTATTTATATAAAATATAAATAGCATTACAATTCTGACTCAGTATTGAAAACTTACTTGCACACCAAAGTTATGCTTATGTAAATCATTCAACAGAAATATGAAAAAGAGCATGCACACTAATCTGATTTGTCAGGGAGTTCAGAAGTCTGAGAGTAGTAGTGAATATATGTTAACTACATTTTATATTATATGGACCTAACAATTATGGTTTACTGCTAAGAGAATAAACCTTGAGTATCCTTTCTGCTCCTGTTTCAAGTATGACTAAGAGAAGGAGGTTACAATTTTTCACTTCAGTTTTCATTTGATCACATTTACTGTTATGTCTAAGGTGCAAACTTCAGTTAATTTTAATTTGTTTTGATTAAAAAGCCTGGTTCTTCACCTAGAGACTTAGATTTCAGTAAACTATACTTGACTACTTCCAAATTATCTAGGTTCTAACATAATGCTTGAGAAGCAGTCACTTAAAAATGGAAGCAAAAGGTTCTGAAATTTTAAATGAAGAGGAGAACTTCAGAAATGAAAACATAATTTATTATTATGCTTGAACATAGCTAATACTTGCAACTTTTCTCCCAGCTTTCTGTCGGTATGTGCATAGATAATGGTATTTTTGAAGGGTCACGGCTAGTGTCCTTTAGAGGTACAGGAGGGTAGAGACCTTGTGGGTATATGCTCACTGCTCTAGTAGTATATGCTCTACATGAAATATTACTGATCTGGATTGTTATGTAATTCTTTTCAGTAATGCATATATTGTTTAATTGGTTAACTTTGATTTTTCTTCTTGTTTTGTAATAGGAAAAAGTTCTCTGGCAAGTGGAAGATGGGATACTTCTACTTGGGGGGCCAATACAAATGTAGAAACTCAAAGTCAGCCAATATCATCTCCTGCAGCCATTACCAAACCAGTTCAGAGAACTGTGGTAGATGAATCAGAAACTTTCTTTAGTGCCTTTCTCCCACCAACAGGTGTCCAGAGCATACAGCAAAGCCCAGTGGTATCTAAGCCACCTGCCAAATCGCAGCATCCCAAAGAAGAAATAAAAAGCACACTGGAGGAACCTCGGCATGCTGACCTGCCAGAAACAGAAACAAAAGACTTTTCTATAGAATTGAAAAGCTTTAATAATGGTCAGGAAAACTTAGAAGAAAATAATTCAGTACTTAATATCAGCATCAAGTATGATGGAAACAATAGTAAAAACACTAATCAAGAAGCATCTTCTCAGAATCTCACAGTAGCAGAATCCCCTTCTGTTGTGAAGTCAGATTCAAGGAATGATAAATCTGGGCATGTGAATGATATCTCTACACAAGCTCTGCCAGCAGAGATAAAAAATTTGGGTTTGGATACTAAAGAGCGAAAAAGTGAGGACAGACAAAGCAATACCCCTTCACCTCCAATTAGCACTTTCTCCTCAGGGACATCTACAACTAGTGATATTGAAGTTTTGGATCATGAAAGTGTTATAAGTGAGAGCTCAGTTAGTTCAAGGCAAGAGGCATCCGATTCAAAAGCCAGTCTCCATCTGATGCAAACTTCCTTTCAGCTTCTGACAGCATCTGGTTGTACAGAATATAATCGTTTAGAAGACTTTCACAAATTGACAGAGAGTTGCTGTTCCTCTGATGCTTTTGAAAGAATAGACTCCTTTAGTGTACAGTCTTTAGATAGTCGTAGCATAAGTGAAATAAACTCAGATGATGAATTGTCAGGTAGGGGGTGTGCATCAACTTCCATTGCTATCAACTCTCCAACTTTAAAAAGTGATGAGACTGAACCTATAAAAAGTATGTCTGATGAAATCCTAAATGAAAATCTTGTACTACCCATGGAAGAACTGGAAATGGAAGAGAGTGGGCGAAGTGCAACCCCTGTTAATTCTGAACAGCCTGATATCTTGGCTGTTTCAGTGCAGACTGATGAAGAGCAGAGCCTAAAGGAAGGGAAAGTGGTACTTCAGCTCTCAAATGAGAAATTATCCACTGTACAATGTGAAAAACAAGAGCTTTGCAAGGTAATAGCTTTTTTTGTTGTCCTCTTGAGATGGTTTATGTCATGTCTCTACAGTAGAAAGTGGTGTGGTTTTGCTTCTACAATAATGCCCCAGAAGACATCTATAACAATTATACCACTTTTGTCTATAATCTTCAGATTATTGATTCACTGACGGAAAAACTAGAGGTGAGGGAAGCACGCCTACTAAATGTTAGTAAAGAAAAAGCACACTTAGAAGAAACCTGTGATAACCTTAAAGAGTAAGTTTCCTATTGAGAACATGTTAAAACGTTGTGATCCCTTTGTTTGGTTAACGGATTTGGATGCCTTTTGCATAACTTGACTTTTTGTGAATTAAATATAATTTATTATAGCAGCTCATTTAAAACCTTGAAAAAGGCTTAAATGAATAATATAAATGAATAATACAATAATAGACATGAAAGGAATCTGTCTTAATAAGGGTAAATATTTGTTACAGAAGGCAGCTCTCATACTACCTAAGTTTATACTATATGAACTGTGTCAAAGAACTTGATAAGAGCTTGGTTCAGTAGTCGTTAAAGGAGAAATATGACAGGAAAATGTGGCTGTGTGAGCCACTGAGTGGGTTCTCTTCCATGGATGATACTCAGTTGACTTTGTCACTTGTTTCAGCACCTTCAACTAGAGAACTGAAGAACATAATTTTCTCTGAGAGCTATTGTTTTATGTATGTATTTATGCAAACATTTCATATGTATGTCAGTACACACATAATTATTTAACTATTTTATGTTTAGTGAAATCTTCAAAATGAAAGAAGAGAATAGTAGCATTACATCTCTGAAGGAAGAATTTGCTCAACGAATAGCAGATGCAGAAAAAAAAGTTCAGTTAGCATGCAAAGAAAGAGATACAGCTAAAAAGGTAATTGATATCCTTTGTTTATGAATTATTTGTGTTAATCTCTGACCGAAACCATAACAGTTATTTTGGAAGCCACCATAGATGTGGCAAAACAACTATTAAGCTGCAGAAATGTGATGTTTGTTAGAAAAAAAGAGGTGTGCAATATTGGCTAATCAGGCCTCACTGGAAGTGTTCTGACATAGTTATGGAAGTATTTCAAGCTCAGTACAATATAAAATATTTCATACATCTCAAGAGAAAATCATAGACCTGAAAGAGGTCATTTAAGCCATCAAGTATAACAACTTGCTACATTCAGAAATAGAGATGAAAGCATTGATTGTTGGTTCCCTTATTGATCTGTGTTCTCTATTTGGAATATTTTTCTAAACTTGGCCAGAATTTCTTCCTATAATAATTCCAAGTCCTGCCTTCTATGGTGATGCAGAATAGGGCTTGACTTCCTGTATCCTTTCAGATACTTAGAGTGGTATTATATCCACTCTGTTTTCTTCTCAAGGCTCAAAATACTTAGTTCCTTCAGACTCTCTTCATAGGGTTTCATTTCTAATCCTTTCTCTGAATTTGTTCTAGTTTGTCTGAATCTTTCTTTTTACTTATTTTATGTTTTTACTTGGTTTATATGCTGTTCCAATCATAACTTTACTCTGAGTTGCATACATATGCAATACAGTAATTGGATTAAAAACAAATTACAGTTATATTATAAACAATATAAGAAATATATCAAAATACAGCAGACGCTACTAACAACCAGCCCCATGCAACATTTCCCCCTGCATATGGGATCAAAGACAGCATCTCAGACCCCAGAGGCACATCAGAAAACTAGCTCTTAATAGCTTTTTGAAAACTCAGGAAGGGCTGTTCCAGTATAGGAGGACATTAACTGGGAAGGCCCTACTTCATGGGTCCTGCAGATGACTCTTTTTTTAAGTCATGGTCAATATGTACAAATAATATGAATCAGCTGTATTTATTTTAGGAAATAAAGCTTCTCAAAGAAGATCTAGCAACTAGGTTGAACAGCAATGAAACAGCAGAATTACTAAAGGAGAAAGATGAACAAATTAAAGGATTACTGGAGGAGGGTGAGTATGAAGTAACATTTCACAACATAAATTCAGAAAACTATAGGTGTTACTTGAAAGTTTAAATTAATGATTTATTTAGCTAAGTAAATATATTCTTGGAATTATTTTTATGAAGATTTTGTGAACTGATATGCAGGCAAACACACATAGTTGTCTTGTATTTACGCATGGTATATTGCAGTTCTGGAATGTACATGGAGAATTGGATTTGCATCAAATCAAATCAAATCTAAATCACAGTACTTAGGATCTGTATATCCACTGGAAGATCTCTGTGTGGATTCAGACTATTTATCCTTTATGGGAAAATATCAAGATTTGCATACTGAGAGTTCCTGTAAGGACTTTGGTTCATGCTAATTATTAAGGCAATTTCTGTTATGGCACCTTGCCTTTCCTCCAGATCAGTACTATATTTCTGACTATGAAATTACACTGAAAATAAATAAATAGTCATTATTGGATTTTGCACTGGAAGATTTTTAAAATAGTGTAATCAATAAGCCGGATGTTCATCTCTTGCAAGTTGGTTGAATGTTTTCAGTTATCTCTTTATAGATATGTATTATTTAAAGAGATTATTTTGTCTTACTTGATGATAGGTAATGAAAGCAACATACTGATGAAGCTGGTTCCTAGATGTAAGCCTTTAGATGTACATTTTTTAGCCAGAATTGTTTCCACAAGTCTGAGCTAATTGTGAATGAGCAGCCTACTTGTGTTGCTGTTTGATCTAATTTAATTGGCTTTGCCTGCCAATTTCAGCCTGTGACTGAAATAATCCAGAAGGCAGTATGTGTGGTTTGTTTACCATTTTATGCAACTTAGAGGTTCTATTTTGTTTCTTTCCTAACAGTCAGGAATTGTAATGCATGGTTTCTTTCGGTTTATGACTCTGCTTATTAGAAGGACAGGCCAGAGTTCTCAGCTTATGTAGCACTGAACAAATCACAGATGAAGCTCCTCAGATCTGTTTACCCATTCCCATTAGCGAGAGGAGCCATGTGGAAGCAATGGATTAGTGTAGATGAACGCATTTTATTCACTGTGATATCCAATACTCTTATTTGAATTCAGTGGTATTGTTCTGTCAGAACAGATATCATTTACAGATTAAATTTCTCCTGCTTGCTGCTATCTTTTTGCAACCCCAAATCTGCTGTGCAGTATAGGAGGGGAGATTGAAGGGAGGAATGGAACTTTATACAAGTAAATTGTAATTTTATTACTTATAATAAATGCATTCAACAGCTTGGACAATTTGGGTGGTGCACCAGAGTGTAAAAAGTTATGCTTCTCTGTTAGATATGCATGGTATTAGCTAACTAGATCCATATTTCTTTTCAGGAGAAAAGCTTTCAAAACAGCAGTTACAAAATTCTAACATCATTAAGAAATTAAGAGCCAAGGAGAAGGAAAGAGAAAATACTAATACAAAGCAGAGTAAGAAAATTAAGGAATTTGAAGAAGAGTTGCAGCATCTGAAACAGGTTGGATTAATGTTTAGACTTTTAGGCTGCACTCATTCTTCCTGGGCTAATATATTTTATTTTTGTAACCTATCTCATAAGGCTGAAGGCAGCTTCCAAAAGGAAACGTTCTAAAATGCAATGCTGTTAATCTTAGAGCTATTACAGTAGAGCTCCAGCTTCCTGGTACAGAAGTTTATGTCTCAAGCAGTGTGGGCAGACAAATCAGGGGTTGTTCTACAGAACATAATAGTTTATTTAAATCAGCAGTTTCCAAACTTTGCGATACGGTGATTCTGTAAAATTATAAATGAATTTGTCCAAATCCCCTCTTGAATAAAACTAGTGATTTTATTGAGGTTCAGTTTGGGCAAGAAATTAATTGTTGTTGTTGTTGTTTAGTCGTTAAGTCGTGTCCGACTCTTCGTGACCCCATGAACCATATTGCGCCAGGCCTTCCTGTCCTTCACTGCCTCCCTGAGTTTGCTCAGTTTCA